AGATATAGGTTGTCCCTCCCACACAAATCAGCGTGGCTCATAGGTGTGAATTCACAGGAGTATACGGTGTTGTCCTCCACAACAAACACGGGACCATGAGGGTTGATATGGTCAGGAGTATAAGGTGTTGTCCTCCCACAAGCAACACTCGCCGTTGCCATGAGGTGGTGAATGCAGGAGTATGGTGTTGTCCCCTCCCACAACAACAGTGGTGGGCCATGAGGTGGTGAATTCAGGGAGTATAGGTGTTGTCCCCCCCCAACAACAGTGAGCTGCCATCGAGGTTGTGAAATTCAGGAGTATAGGTGTTGTCCCTCCCACAACAACAGTGCTGGCCATGAGGTGGTGAATGCAGAGTATAGGTGTTGTCCCCTCCCACAACAACAGTGCTGGCCATGAGGTGGTGAATTCAGGAGTATAGGTGTTGTCCCTCCCCCCGTAGAGAAAGAATATGAATATATATGAATATGAATATCTTGTTCTGCTGAAAAATGACATCTGTGTGTCAAGGTTTTTCTCAGACCTTTAAAATACCCAGAGAAATACACTAAAACATTTGAGGTTATGGTAAACATAACTGTTAGCCCACGGGTTCACTCGAACTTTAAAATACCTGATACAACACTGGAAGCATCTGATGTGATATGATATGATGTGGTTGATGTAAGGTTTTTGCATGGGGTTGACGTTGTCAATGCAGTGTTTACAGTCTTCACGAAAAACATTTTGAGCCACTTGCCCTCTCCGGCAAGTATTCTCTGAAATGTACATGCCCGAATGACATTCTAGTTGCCCATATATTTTGCAGAAATATTTTTGAAATATTGAGTAAAGAAGTGTACACCAGACAACTTGTAGATGCCATTCGTTTCCAGTGTTTAACATTTCGTGATTTTAAACCTTTAGTAATGGCCAGCTGAGTTATAGTTTATGCGTTTTTAAAGCAGGGGCTTGTCGGTCACTGAGCTCGCGATGTTTACATGCCTGCTGACATTTCCATACGTCTCGTGCGTCGGACGCCCGGCTATATTCGAAGACTGTGTTTACTCTGCGCTGTGGCTCGCTACTGATGCAGAGATGCCAACCACTACGATTTATCCGTATTTTATACGAGTTTTTATTCCTTTTGCACCACTACGACCAGTTTGTATCAAACTACGAATTTCACTGTAATCGGAAAAAATTTTTTTTTTTTAAATTATTGTTCTTTTTTGTCAATTTATTGTCATTTTTGACCCTCAGACTGCAGGAAATTGCATCTCAGAATCAAAAAATTTTCCGGGGGGCATGCCGAACCCCCCTAGCAAACTCGGGTCACTACATGACCCTCGAACTACTAATTTGATGGCCAGAAACTACAGATTGCTTCATATGTGTTGGCATCTCTGCTGTATCATTGTTTCTACGCCTTCTCTTTCTAGCCGAGGAGGACATTGATGATCTGAGTGACATTAGGTCTAGGACGTCTAGCGTGGCATCTGTGCATAGCGTTGGCAAGGAGCAGAAGCAGTACGCCCCCGAAGACGGTAAGAGAGCGTGTATCATCAGTCTAACATCGCCTATCATATTGCATATCATCAGCAGTCTCATTCTGATATTGATATTATGTCATTCTCCTTTAAGCCTGAGTATAAACATGCAATAATCTAAATACGAATGCTGTTGCAATTTCATTGACTACTAGTACTAGTTACTGCTGCTATGATATTGCTACTTCTGATGTTATATACATCTACCGCATTATTTCATTGCTGATTTCTTTCATTATGTTGTATGCTTTGATGTTAGCATTCCAAGTTTTAGATGGAAATATATGGTAGACATAAATTAGACAATAGGGTAGACATGTTTGAGTACGAAAATGAATGCGTTTGTTGAAAGCTTCATTCAACAGTTATTACAGCAGCTATTTTGCTAAGGCAGTACAAGGAAGGTATTTTCACTATTGTAATGTCTTTATGTGATTATGCTAATGAATCTAACCCCGCTCATGTGTATTGTATGTATCACTTGTATTCTCTGCAGCCTACATCCTGAGTAATATGTTGTTGGTACAGTTATGGTTAGGATTGATTCGTATAGTATCTTAGTTATTATTATATTATAGTGGGAGGAGAGCACCGTCGCCCCTACAGTTACCACCTCAAAATCACCACTTACTATATTGTCCTGATAATTTATCACTTCTTTCTAGGCCTTCACTGTGGTAACCATCTTCAATACGATGCGGTTTTCCATTGCCATTTTACCGTTTGCCGTCCGATGTGTGGCTGAGATGAATGTGTCTATTAATCGTATACAGGTAGCCGAAATGTAGATTGCATGGTGTCCTCATGTGTGTTTCAGTTATGATATACTCTTCTACTTATGTGCATGCATGTAAACGGCTTTGTTATATTTCTCTGCGTTACTGAACATCTTACTTGAAATTCTATTGCAACTCTAAGGAGTTATCTCTTCACTTTCGATATATGATATCTTATATGGTTCTGTCATCTTATATGATTCTATAGTGGATGCTACTTTTGATTTATTTAAATGTTTATAGAACTAATATTACATAAACGCACCATACACATACAAAAATATATTTCAGTATATATATTAATATAGCTGTGCACACGTGCACTCGTATTCATTCCAGCACACGTGGCGAGTTAAGGTTGCAATTTCTCGATAGCAGAGCACATGTAGTGATAATCCTGGCAATACAGTGGGAGGGTAACAATTCTGTCGGATTCAGATGTGACACTCGGGTAAAAATGCAGATTTTGGCTATTTCTCTACATAGCTACATAGCTAGGCAGATAAAGTCCACGAGAGAGTTAATTTTGCAGTAGTGACATTTGCGTGGTACTTTATTTATGAAAAGGATGATGAACTTGCTTTTAGTAATATTTGAGGAATACCTGTCCTTTTGAACCTCAAGAGAAATGATAAGCTTGATAGTTGCCTTTTCTGCTATTCTTCCCAAATGCTTTGAATGGTACCCTCATACCTACATTAGATAGGCGGCAAATTTAGTATTACATTAAAATATCGAAACCTAATTGAAGTAAAAACAACTTATAATGTAGTATTTCTGTTTATTGCATGGATTTAGTTATTGTTCTCTTGGGCTGGCCAACATATTAGAATGCCGCACTAATATAATATGTAAAATGCCATTCTGGTTCACATCTAGTTTTCACTAATGAGCTGCTGCTTATCATAACTTATGTGCATTTGTGCGTGCGTGCGTGCGTGCGTGCGTGCATGTGAGTGTGTGCTATGTATGCACGCTATGTATGCTATGTGTGCATGTGGGCGAACGTGTGTAAATGTATATATCATCTATCTTAGTGGTTTCTAATCTTTATTTCTCTTTAGTTTCCTCTACTTTTCAGCACTACAATTCTGAACCTTAGAAAAAGTAGAATTAATTTAGCCAGCTATTTTACATGGCATGTACTGACTTGTTATCAACTTTCAGCTTGGAGTGGCAGCACACTCACTACCCTTTGCTACCTCATGCTATTATCATAAGTTTAAACAGCACGTTTTTAACATCTAATAATGTGGTCACACTCTGTTATTTTAGTAACACTAACTTTACTGATCTCATGATTTTTAATATCACGTGAGCTGGCGTTTTTGTTTTTGTTTCTTCTTTATTAAATTATCAATTGCATGCTAACCTTATATGATTTCTGTATTTGAATAACTCTTGTTTGTTTCATCACTCTATCTCTTGTGCTCGTCAGATTGTTTGGCTGTTCATCCTGACACTATTTGTTTTCTTTATTTGTTCTTTTTGCATTGCATGATTTATTTAACATTACAGGCGTTTGCTACTATGACTGTATTTGGAATAAGTGCCTTCGGTGTGCGACTGATTAGTTTAGGACCGAAATGCTTTGGAGACTTTTGGGGTTCTTTAGGCCGATTTCAGGTACTGAATGTGGGAAATCATTAATTGATATTTGGGACAGAGAATCTCATTGCTGTGGTGTAGCAACCAACTACTATGTGTAGTGTCACATTCACTCAGTATGTCCATTATTGTTTCTGGCTCATTTATTAATATTTTACATAATACCATAGTGGCAATCCTTCCACCCCATCAACACTAATTTGATTATACTTCATATGATTAAAAGAGATCAGTTGCAAACCTTAACCATGATTTTATATAAAGCTAATGCAGGTACATTACAAGACACGAGTTGCCAAATTTTACACATGTATGAAATTAAATACACTTGCTATTACATTAAATTTGTGAATATTATGTGACACATTTTAATATTGTATGTGCTCTGCATATCTCATTTTTATGTTCTAACGTAATTCCCAGCAACCCAGGGACTGTTGGGATACTTAGAATTATTGGCCATGGTGTGATATGCATGTTGTCACCCTTAAATGCAAATGTTGTTCCAAACGTAAATACATTAATAGCTGGGGGCCTTGAGAACACAATGCAATTTTAGCTTGAGCTATTACTTATTTACAATAAATATATTTTTCTTTGCAAATTTAGACAAGTAATCATTTATTTAATATTTGCTTTACCTGTGATATAGCTAATTTAGCCAGAATTCTTGTAGATTTTATACTAAAATATCCTGGTACATTTAGAAAAGATTTGCTTTGCCTTTGTACAATAATTAGTCTTCTTCTGACTCCTTGTAGAAAACTACTCATATGCTTGTCTATCTGTCTTGCCTCTACCATTTCTTACTAGGTTTGTGCATGAAAATATTTGTTGTATCTGTGAAATATTTAATATACATACTAATAATGATAAATTAAATACTGAATTTATGTTTACTTACATTTAACTGTAGTAAATTTAAAAAAAGTGTAGCCTACAAGAAGTTAAAATGTTGACAGCTTTTTGATAGTAAAAAGATCAGTGTGAAGTACTCGACATTATCGTAAGGAAAAAGTGTGTAAATACTGACCACAGACTATGGCTGGCATTTTAATGCTTGTTCTTGCTGGTTGGTCGTGTCTAGACTATCCTGCTCATGGAGGAGGTCACACACAAGGTCGTGAAGCCATCCAAACCTGAGCTGGCCTTGGAAATAAAGAATGCAACATTTTCTTGGGATGCCCCGACCTCTGTTGGCCCAAGCTCTGTGGCCAACTGTGAAGCCAATGGGAAAGCTAGCGGCGGAAAGTCACCAAATAAAGAGAAATATGGAAAAGGTATCTTGTATTTTCGTTCTGGCTAGCCAGGATATAATCAAATATAAGCGTTGATTACATGTAAGTTAATTCTTGTACAATAGTTTACTTGTGTGAGTGTTTAAGTATTATACCTGAGACATCTAATTAACTGAGAATCTAATTAAATATCGTGGTGATACTCGAAGTCTTAGAATGCTTTAGATATGAACTTGTCATGAATATAACAGCTGATTTTATCTGTAATTGCAATTAGCGAAATCAAAGAAGGGAGCACCAGTGGATGTTGTAGATGAGGAGGAGGAAGAGTTGCAGCAGGCAGCGACCATGGAAGTGAAACAAGTGGAAGCACTACAAAACATTGACCTGCAAGTGGAAAAGGTAGGCACAGCTGTAATTGACCTCACGCTACGTGATCTGGGGATAGACTGTTACTTCTCATATTGCAGACAGCAGTTCCTCATGCTTATTTAATTCATAATCCGGGAGAGAGAGTTGCTGTCATCAGCTGTATTGGGTGCGCTAGTAAAGCATTTGATAAAAGGTTTCGTAATTCACTTAAATGAGACACGATGGAAGGATCCTTGAGGAATTGTGTTTCGGTATTAATGTGATGGTTGTACTGTATTTTCAGGGGAGACTAATCGGCATCTGTGGCAGTGTTGGGAGTGGCAAGAGCTCACTGCTAAGTGCTGTGCTGGGCCAGGTGAGTGTCTATACTGAGTTGCCAATCACTTCTATTGTAACAATTTAATATGATTGGGCCAATTTTACATTTGATCTCGTCTGTTCTTCATGCTATCTGCTGCATGCTTTTTGCACTGTGCATGGTCATCAGTATAATGATCTTTATGCCTTCACGTCAGATTAATGTGTCATTTGCATAACTCAACTTCAGGGTTCAACGGGTTGACTTGATTACTATTTATTACGACTTTATTATTATTACCTCCGCCAAGGGGTTGGCAGGAGGTTATGTTTTCATCGGCGTGTGTTTGTTGGTTTGTGCGTTTGTTTCTTTGTGTACAGCCTAACTCAAAAAGTTATGGACGGATTGTCATGAAATTTTCAGGATAGGTCAGGAATAGGCTCACCTAGAATTGATGAGATTTTGGTGGTGATCCGGATCCAATTAATGAATTAAATTTTTTTTTAGGATAGGTCAGAAATGGGGTAACTTAGAATTGATTACATTTTGGTGGTGATCCGGATCCAATTAATTATTTAATTAATCAATTAATTAATAAAATTTTTCACAGTGACAGAATTCAGCTGCCTTGGCGGAGGTCTGCGCTCTCCGAGTGCTCTAGTTAGTATTATTATCGTCATCATCATTATCATCGCCACTATCATCATCATCATTATTGCATGTCTGTTGCAGATGCGTATGAATGATGGTACTTTAGGTATTGATGGAAGGTTTGCCTATGTTGCTCAGCAAGCGTGGATCATCAATGCCTCTGTTCGGGAGAACATCACGTTTGGTGCTGATTTTGACAGTAAAAGGTACATTATTTTTTGCTAGAATACAAGCCAATTTGATAGTCTAGGTTGCTTAGATACGGACGAGGTCATGTTGATTGTAAATGACTATATCAGATATAAAATTTCTAACACATAATAGTTTTTATTATAATAATAATTTGTATTATTATAATAATAATTTGTATATAATTAGTATTATAATTATTTGCAACAGCAAGTTTACTACAACATACTTTCGAATCGAATGCCATTAATTAATCTATTTTATTTGAATACAAGATATTATGAGGCCATCTATGCATCGTGTCTGAATACCGATATTGCAATGCTGGCCAATGGAGATGAGACCGAGGTATGAAATTATACAGTAGTGAGAAAATGTAACTACTGCCTGGTCTTTCTCATACGTTCGTGTTATTCCTTATGTCCTTCCTGTGTATTTCTTTATCTTGTCCGTGCATGTATCTATTGTAGTGTTGGTGAAGGTAGCAGATAAATAACCAGTACGTCTGAGTATGTCCACCAGTACACTCACACCCACTAACATTTTCTAACTTACGACAAGTGAGTCTAAACCGTAAAACATAATCGTTATCGTAACCGTAATCGTAATCGGAGCACATTCGGTACCGCCCCGCGGAACACTCGCCACGTTCTGTTCGATGATCGGTGACCTCTGTGTGACCTCACAGGTCGGCGAGCGCGGCGTGAACCTGAGCGGAGGACAGAAGCAGCGCATCAGTCTCGCGCGCGCGTTTTACACGAACAGCGACATCTACCTGCTCGACGACCCGCTGAGCTCCGTGGACACTCGCGTCGGCCAGCACATATTCAAGCACCTCATCCGCGGCTCGCTGAAGGGCAAGACGATTCTCTTTACACAATATATATATATATTATATAGTAAAGTATATTTTGCCTTCTTGTAGGTAAGCTGATGACAGAGGAGGAGAGTGGTACAGGCAGTGTGAAGTGGGTGACGTATAAGTCGTACATAGCAGCTGCAGGAGGCTGCTGCGTCTTGTTTGGAGTCGTCACGCTCTTCCTCATCGTAGTTTGCACCATAGGCTTCAGCAATATCTGGCTAAGCTACTGGCTCAGAGCAGGCAGTGGGGTAAGATGTGTTCGGTGCATACGTGCGCGTGAAGGCTGTATGTGTGTGTGCGCTTACGTCTGTCTGTCTGTGTGTGTGTCTCTGTCTGTGTGTCTGTCTGTCTGTCTGTCTGTCTGTCTGTCTGTCTGTCTGTCCGTCCGTCTGTCTGTCTGTCTATGTCTGTCCGTGTATCGGCACATGTGCGTGTGCACGTGTATGTGCTGTGTTTTTGTATCTATGTGTGCTTGGGTGCTTGTGTTGTGTGTGCATCTGTGCATGCGTTCTCTTGTGTGCGCGTGCACGTGCACGCGTGTGTATGAGCTTCAGTGTGTGTGTTTGCGAGTGCATATGTTCAAGCTACTGACTCTGGGTGGACAGCCGGTTAAGCTTCATTAGTGTGCGCATGCATGCATGAATGCATGTATGTAATCACACAGTGAATATAGCTAGCGGATGCACAGCGCGTTCTGTAAGAGTGATGAACGCTGTATGTGTTGTATTTCCTGGAAGTAAAGACTGAAGAACCAACGTTTACTATAATTAATACGAACAAGGAATTTATTCCACTGCAGTCCAGGCTGCAATATTGTAGTTTGACACTGGCTTCGGGGAAGTACTTGGTGCCACCTATTGGCCACGTTATAGCGCATGTTACGACCACCGCCGGTGGGCGAAACATGTTATGAGGGGTGCGAAAGAAATGGAAGCAACCGGCGTCGGTAACCTACCAGAAATTTGGCTAATTAAGATTCTGGGAGCCTCACTTTCGTGCACAACATTTCCGTTACCCGCTCCCTTGTTTGAATTCTGACTTATCAATTCTCATATTTGCTCGCTATAAAAAAATAGTCCAGCAATTTAACCAGGGTGGTCGCTCAAAGGCTATGCTTTACTATATTACACTAATACTTAATCTCACAATATGTCGTTGTTTGTTCTTCCTCGCAGGGCGTTAACATGACGCGGGAGGTGACTGACGGCAACATGACGTATGAGGAGACGTACGTCAGCGAGAGCATCATGGACAACCCACGCGTTGGCTTCTACCAGCTCGTCTACGGTCTCTCCATCATCGCCATGGTTACAACAGCCTGCTTCAGAAGTGTCATCTTCATGAAGGCTAGTTCATAGATAGCATATGTCTGTATTGGACGTATTTAGTATAGTATGTAATTGATTGCTGTTTGTTGATAGTTAATAGATAGCATATGTCTGTATTGAACATATTTAGTATATTATATAATTGATTGCTGTTTGTTGATAGTTAATAGATAGCATATGTCTGTATTGAACATATTTGGTATGGTATATAATTGATTGCTGTTCGTTGCCGAGTGGCTAAGCCATCGCACTTGCTGCTGTCAATACATTGGTCAATGGTGATACTCTTTAGAAACTCCTTATTTAAATATATATTAGCCATCAATTGTACTGTAGTAAGAGTAATAGTAGGTAAAAACAGCCGAGTGTTTGGTTGTTCCTGGCGTATTTTCACCAATGGCTTAAAAGATAATATATTATCCTGTAGAGACCTTCCCATTCAGGCATCCTCCGGTGTCTGTCGGTGATGAGCAATGTTATACCCTGATTCACTCGTACTTTTACTTACTCTTACCCTGCCTTGCTGCAGGTGTCCCTGATAGCATCCAGCAGGCTCCATGACATGTTGTTCATCAAGGTGCTGAGAAGTCCGATGCGATTCTTTGACAGTACACCCGTCGGCCGCATCATCAACCGCTTTTCCACCGACATGGATGAGAGTAGGTTTACCTGCACACAACACACAATGTCGAGTGTTTCTATTATACACAGTGCAGATGATATGCATAATATATTATAATTTATCATACCTGTCTCAGACGTTATTGTCATATGGTGCTTAATAACAATGTTGCCGTGTTGTTGCTACAGTTGATGTACGGCATGTCGTACCTCTATGAGATGTTGTCATCGTGTTGTGTGTTCTAACAATGTTGCCGTGTTGTTGCTACAGTTGATGTCAGGCTGCCCTACCTCTCTGAGATGGCACTGATCACCCTACTGTTCATCTTTACCGCTCTCTTCCTCATCGCGGCTGTGTTTCCATGGTTTCTCATCGGCGTGATTCCTCTCTGCCTGGCATTCTCCATAGTGATGAAGTGTTTTCAGGTGAGGCCATGCAGTGTGCAGATTCACTGTCTGTCAACATTCAGGGTGACTT